TAAGGGACGTACGCTAATTACCATGTTTCTCTTTTATTAGATAAGAGGACATACAAAGCTTGTTTCATGGACTAGGCATGAGATTTTTATTGTTGGTTCACTTTTTTTTTTTAATCACAGTTTTGGGTTCACTTGTATGTTTTATATTAGGAATATTGACCAGGGAGTCAGGAGATACAGGTTCTTATTCTTAGCACTGCCATGAATTAATTGTATAACTTTAGGCTTTGATTTCTTCATGTATAAGTGACAGGAGATTAGGCTTTAAAGATCTTTATGATCCTAAATAGTTGTAAATTATAAATTGTGAATTTCTGTCTTTTGTTTTTGGAAAAATGTAGATTTAAAAATGTTTTTATTGATTTCAGAGAGAGGAAGGGAGACAGAGAGAGGAAGGGAGACGGAGAGAGAGAGATAGAAGCATCAATGATGAGAGAGAATCATTGATTCACTGCTTCCTGTACGCTTCCTACTGGGGATGGAGCCCCAAACCCGGGCATTTCTATGATCTCCTGGTGCATAGGTCGAAGCTCAACCACTGAGTCACACCAGCTGGGTTGGAAGAGTGCAGATTTTAAAAAACTGCTGTAATGACCATTTTGCGGAGTTATCTCCTGCTTGTATGTTTTCAACTGTGGCACTATCCTTTGCTCTGGTAATCCTCCTGATAAAACCTTGACTATCCTACTTTTCTGGTTATGGTCTTGTTCATTGTACTTGTTTTAGTTACCCTTTTTGTTTTGAATTTCTTCACATTCTTAAAATGCAAAGACTAGAGATGGATCTACCAACTACACATCCCTCTTAATGCTGAGTCTAATTCTTATATGGAATTTTTTTTTTCCCTCAAGGGAGATAGAATTATCTTCCAAATTAAAATCCTTTACCCTTTCTGCTCTGTTTTTCTGGGGGGGTGGGAATGGAGGAAGGGATAGTGTGATATTCTGAACACAGCATTGGGTATCAGAATTAGAGCACTGGTTCAAACCACTTCCTAGGTTGACATAGTATTCTTAGACCAGTCATTTAACCTCTCTAAGCCCCAGTTTCTCTTGCTTAATATACATGTCCTGCTTCCTGTACCAGGAGGCTGTGAGGATCAAGTAATGTAATAGATTAGAGAGTGTTTTCTAAAATATAAAGATTTGTATTCTTGTAGTTGTTTCTATCCTAGTGTAATATGCATTCTAAATCAATAAAGTCAGTATGTATTGAGCACCTATGATGAAGAAAATCTGTAGTTTATAAATCAGGTTGGGGATTTATATAGTAAAGTGCCATAAGAAAGGTATAACTAAACCTCTATGAAAGTTCAGATAGATTATTTATTTAACATTAGCATTATATTTCTTACATTTATTTTGTAGGCTATTTTGTGTTTTAAAAGTTATTCTTGGACCTAGGCAGGCTTATTCCATATTATGCCAGCACCATTTGATGACAGAAAAATGTGAATGGTAGAAAAAAATCAAGGAAAGTCTTCCAGTATTTGAAACCTCTTACCTGATTCAGTCAAGAAGTTGCTCACATCAGTGAAGAACGAGTGAGGTTCTGAAACAGCGTTTCATTTCCTCTTCCTTGTTAATGTAAACAAAATACCAACCAAAATCAGTGGTACTGGCATAATAATGGAATAAGCGTGTTTTTAAAAAATAATTTATCAACCATTTCTTTTTTTATTTATTTATTTTGATTTCTCAGGAACATTCTATTTCTATAAAAATAAAATGTCGTGTGTGTGTGTGTTTAACTCTCCCAGCCTTATTCTCCCATCTACTGTGTTTTCTCCCTATTTTATTTTTTGAAATAACTCCAGCTCTGCTTATCTATCTTGGTGTTACTTGCTAATTTAATGGATTTACTTTCATTTCCATCTTCTGGTTCATTGGTAAAGATTATTAGGTAAATTTTGATCCAGTATTTACCCTCTCAAGGTGCTTAAAATATCCTTCAAGAGTAGCTTTGAAACTTCATGTTGAACTCTCTAACCATGTATGCTCATCCAAAAATGTTTCTAGTTTATTACGGAGAATCATATAGGATCAAAATCAGAAACCTTTTCTTCTGAAGCACAGACTACACTTACTGCTTACTTTCATCCTTTAGGCCTGTCAGTCCATCATAGAAGGAAATTACTTTATAGAACTTCCAAACCTCATGGAATTAGAGACACTTGATTGAGGGTTTGACTTTAGTGCCTTTCTTACTGGCAGAGTTAAGTTTATCCATCTTCAATTATTAGTCATTCTCCCTGCACCCCCGCCTGTTTTTTTTTTAAAGATTAGACACAAATATTTACCCTTCCCTCAGGTTTTCAGGAACTTCCTATGGTCTTTATGTATTCTTAAACCTAGGTAATCTGGCTATAGCAGTAAAGTGATTTGCATTGTATGAAATTATGTTATCTTGATGTAGAAAGGAAAACTATATCTTAACCTTTTCCTCAGTATTCAGTTAAATATAAAATGGTTATCTAGGAAGGGTATTTAATTTTAGGTTTATAAATTATTTTTATTTTAACAGAACTTCTGTCATTCATAGGCTGGAGCCACTAGACAGTGAAATTTCTACATATGTATCTGCAGGAAAACACGTACTTTAGTGGAAGAATACTTGTTAGCACAGTGCCTTACCTAGATAAGGCACTCATCTACTGGTACTGGTCGAATGAGTGAATGCACTTTAACCTGGTGTTAATCTGAAATATGCTATTATTCCTTCCCTTTTCTTTGTATTAAGGCTAGTGGCTCCTCCTTAATTACAAATAATTTTTCGACTGTATCATTCTTATTTCATTGATATATTTACGGTTTGATAGATAACATTCACATTTTTCAGAGAGGAAATATATACATTTGCTTGCTAGGCGCTAAGTAGAAGAAAAAGATTCTTTTATGTATCTATAGATAAGGTAGATATCAGATATAGAAGCAATTTATATAAAACATATTGAGGTCATACTGACATTAGAATTTACCTTTCATCTTGTTTAGAAGCAATTTGTATAAAACATATTGAGGTCATAATGACATTAGAATTTACCATTTTTTATTGTTTAAAGTATTACAAATAGTAGGAGGGTTGGGGGGTTGTGTTAAGAGATCAACTGAAGGACTTGTATGCATGCATATAAGAATTTACCGTTTTTGTTTCCCCATTTCTTTTTAAAAATATTTTTATATGTTTTTATTGATTTTAGAGAGAGGAAGGGAAAGGGAGAGATAGATACATCAGTGCTGAAAGAGGATCATTGATCGGCTGCCTCCTGCACGCCCCCTACTGGGGATGGAGCCCACAATCTGGGCATGTGCCCTGATCAGGAATCAAACTATGATCTCCTGGTTCATAGGTCCACATTCAACTTCTGAGCCACATCAACGGGCTGTTTCCTCACTTCTTATTATAATTTGTATAATATTTTAACATTAAAAAATATCTGATTATTATAAAAACTAGAAAACAGTGAAAAACATTAATAAAAAAATCCCTAAGTTCTACCTCCTAGCCATATTATCTTTTTGTTGTTTTTCTAAATATACTTGTTTAACTGTTAGCCATATTAGTAGTTTTCAGTATTTCATATCTTAAATACCGTCTATATATTAAAGAACCAAAGTGCCACAGCAGTAGAAGCAGCCCACATTTTATAAGGACATTTATATTTTTATACAAATTACTAGAGGCCCGGTGCACGAAACTCATGCGGGGGGTGGGTGGGAGGGAAGTCCCCTCAGCCCAGCCTGCGCCCTCTCCAATCCGGGACCCCTCTTGGGGATCGGGCCTAAATCTGCAGTCAGACATCCCTCTGACAATCCAGGACAGCCGGCTCCTAACTGCTCATCTGCTTGCCTGCCTGATCGCCCGTAACTGCCTCTGTCTGCCAACCTGATCACCCCTAACTGCACACCCCTCTCCCGCCGACCTGGTCACCCCTCACTGCCCCCACCCCCTCGCTGGCCTTGTCGCCCCACTCAGCCTGTTTGGTCGTCCATTCGGTTTCGGATGTGATGGCCCCTGGCTCTTTATATATATAGATGTTAGTGCCTTAACAATTGTTAAAAAAAAACCCCGCATCATATGTAATGCAGATTACTTTTGAGCACTCCTGGTGACACTTGACCCACTAGTTGAGTATCACTGGGTAGAACAGTCAAAATTAATGAGCAAGTTTGAAAATCTCCATATGGGCCTTAGATCTTGTTAAACTAGTTTGGATTGCTTTCATATTTGTACTAGCATTGGTGCAAATCCCTTTTGATTTGAATTGAGTTTGCAATTATAATTTTTATTAATTCATCTGAAAGAATTAAGTCCAAGAATATTTTTTAATTCTATGTCATTTAGTACATAAGATAATTCGTAAGGATTCTCTTCCCCAGTTCCCAAACACATGTTGGTTTTCCATGATTACTTCATTATCCTTTCATTTGGTCAGTGATGACATCTTAGTCAATTCTACTTCCAAAATAACATTTTACTCTACCTCTTCAACCCTGAAGTTATTGCCTATTCAGGTTTTAATTTCCTTTCAGTGTATTGTAGAAGCTACCTGACTACCTATATTCTTTTCCTTTCCTCCTGTTATATAATGCTGTAGTATTTTCTTCCCATTTCTTCCTTCTCTCCTTTTATTGCAATTTTCAATAATTTATTTTAGGAAGACTTAAATATACATATACACAGAAAGTGAAACTTTATTATATGGAAATAACCACTGTAATCATTATGGTGTCTAGTCTTATAGTTGTTTGTTTTCTTTGTGTATATATATAATTTTTAAATTGGGTTAATGTGGGCATTCTCTAACCTTTTTAAAAAAACTTAATATTTTGTGAACATTTATCCATGTCTGCCTTATTTTTTTTCTATATTATAGATTTACTAAAGGCCCGATGCATGAAATTCATGCAAGAGTAGGCCTTCCTTCCCCCAGCTGCTGGCACTGGCTTCCCTCTGGCACCCGGGACCCGGGCTTCCCTCGCAGCCCTGGCTTTGTCCGGTCTAATTAGCACATTACACTTTTATTATTAGAATATATGCCTTCTTCCTGGACATTTAGTTCTTTAGGCCCTTCTTCCCTCCCTCCTATCCATCCATCCATTCTTTCTGCTATTATAACCAGTATTACAATGTCCTTGTAGCGAAATTATCTGGACAGTTTCATGGTTATTTCTGAGGATGCTGAGCAATGATTCTAAAACATAGCTCTGATTGTATCGTTTCACTTATACATCCTTCATCTCTTTGTTGTGACCAGTCTGAGCTTTTCATCCTAAAAACTCTTGGTCTATCCTGTGCTAGCCTTTTTGACTTTATCACTTATTCTTTTTTTAATATATATTTTTATTGATTTCAGAGAGGACGGGAGAGGGAGCGAGCGAGAGAGAGAAACATCAGTGATAAGAGAGAATCATCGATCGGCTGCCTCTTGCATACCCCCCCATGGGGATCAAGCCTGCAACCCAGGCATGTGCCCTGTTGGAGAATCTAACCGTGTCCTCCTGGATTCACAGGTTGACGCTCCACCACTGAGCCTCCACAGCTGGGCTACCTCTTATTCTTTTCCCACACTCTACAGCTAACCAGACCTTTACTTGTGGTTTCTAAAATGTCTTACTCATGGATGTCTGTTTGCTCTCTTTTCTTATCCACTTGGTAAATATTTCTTCAGCTTTCTAGCCTAAACTTTCGTGTGAAGTTTTGGCTCTCCCTTGGCAGTGTGAGGTGGTTCCTGCTTTGCATCCTGTAAACTCTTCTGTTGGAATGCCAATAGAATAGTTGCAAAATTTTAGAAATTTAATCTCCTTTGCTAGGCTGTGAGCTCCTCAGTAGAAGGGATGTTGTTCTAATAACCTCTTTCTTTCTAGCACCTAACTCAGAGTAGGTGCTTAATAAATGTTTGAGTAAATCTGAGGTCTGGGGAAAAGCAAATTTCTAACAATGGAGTAATAAAATTAAATATATTTTTAATTCACTCCAAAATGCTATGAGGAAAAAATTACTTGATTGAAAAATATTTATGGAGAACATAGGAAGCATAGTATTTGTTCAAAATAAATGCGTAATAAGTGATTAAGAATGTATAACTGAAGAATTTATGATTGCATTTAACGTTGACACTAGTTTTATCAACATTTAGAGATTTGAGTGAAATGAATACTTTTGCTTACATTTCTATGTAAGCAAGAATATGTAAGTATTGTGTATTGACAGATATAGGCACAGTGTTTAAAATTTGAGTAATGTAACAGTATCATTATGGCTTTAATTTTTGTAACCGAATAGATTTAAGAAAAATTAGATTAATTAAAGTATGTTAGAACTGCAAACAAAAATCATTGGAAAGGTGCGATGTTTGGAGTTTTAAAAGACTGAAACCATATTTCTATAGAAAATATTCATTGGCAACATAATTAAAGAATCCTGAATTGGAGGATAAATAATTGCTCTTTTCTAGTAGTCATCTCTTTATGTCCTTGTTTTGAGATTTTGAATTAATTATTCAAAATGATGGATACTTTCTTTTGTTCTTTAGGCTGAAAGTTTCCAAATTCTTTCTCATTGTCTATTTAAATGTTAGGCAGTTTAAGTATTTTGTAATTTTTTTTGCATTGGACTAATCTAAAGTATGCTATAATCAATAATTCCTATGCACATATAGCAAATCTTTTGTGCCAATAGCTTTTTAAGTTCTTAAAGTTTGCTTTGCTCACTATTGTCTTCTTAGCACTTAGTGTAGTAGTTAGTACTGCCATATGACAGGTTTTATGACAGGTTTTACTTATTAGTATATTAACTATATTTTTCTTTTTTTAAAGGTAATGTGGCTTTAGATAATCTAAAGATAAAAGAAAATGCTCTGGTAAGTTTTTTAATTATGTTAATTACTCATTTAATTTGGTAAGTCTTAGAAACCCTTGGTTAGTAAGTATCTGGTACCAGGTGCCAGATAAAGTGGTTGAGTCACTCAAAGAAGGATTGCTTGTTTAATTATTTGTGGTAGGAAAATCTGAGATTAAGATTTAGAACTTTTCCCCCTGATGATCAATCAATATGGTATCTCTTGTCAACAGAATACTCTTCATTGACCTAATTTGACTATATAGCTTTGTAGTAGGCCTTTGTCTTCAGAAATATCTTTGCATATTTTTCAGGTAAATAAGACCTTGCTTTTAACAATTTAATCTAATGAATAATTGTATTTTTGGAAATATATTCAAGTTCAGCCATATAATATTATGGTAATATTAAGGGATAAAATAGCCCTGGCTGGTGTGGTTCTGGTGGTTGGAGTGTTATCCTGTACAACATAAGGTGGTGGATTCTATTTCTGGTCAGGGAAACATGCCCAGGTGCAGTTCGGTCCCAGGTCAGGGGCTCATGCAGGAGGCAACTGATTGATGTTTCTCTCTCTCTCTAAGATAAAAAGAAGAGGTAAAATATATTTTTTTCAGACTCTAGCTTCCCGAGAGTAGTTTGTATCATTTACTATTGAGCTGAAAACAAAACAACTCTCCCCATTCTCTCAATCCTCTACCCCCTGTGAAGCTGTAGCTAAAATATTAGACTTAATTTGAGGTTATGAAATCACTGAAGAATGATTTTATTCTTTAATTAATAGGTCATATTTCTAATTAATCTATTGGAATGTTTTAAAGTTTTGTCTGACTTCTGGTTGGATTTCTACATGATGAAATGTGTTATTAGGGAGAGCATTATGCATTAAATGCTCCCATGACTGGTCCGAGGGAAATTTGGGATATTGAAGATCCTAGGAGTAGAACTCTGTCACAAGCAGTAACATTACATTTTGTTAAGTTTGGCATAGTGGAAAGGGCATGGACCTTGTAGTCCGGAAGATCTGGGTTTGAGTGCTAGCTCTGCCTTTTACCAGCTGTGTGTCTTTGGCAAGTTTCTAAATTTTTTTGAGCATTAGTTTAATCATCTTTTAAGTGGAGTTAGTATTATAAAACAACGTAATATCTCTCTGCCTTTGTGGCTTGAGTAAGATGGAAAGTGAGCCTGGCAAATAGTGGGCATTCAAACTATTTAAATGTTCTTTCCCTCCCTTTATATAGGGTGCTACAACTTTAAAAAAATATTTTTATTGACTTCAGAGAGAGGGAGGGAGAGGGAGAGAGTGGTGGAAACGTCAGTGATGATAATCATTGATCCGCTGCCTCCTGCGCAACTGCCACAGGGTATTGAGCCCACAACCCGGGCATATGCCCGGATGGGGAATCGGACCATGACTTCCTGGTTCATAGGTTGACACTTACTCACTGGGCCAACTTTTAAAAATTTATCCCAAAATTTAGAAATTAAGATTTTATTCCTAGTGATTGCATTAAAGCTTATTTTTCTCTTTATTTTAGAAGGAAATAAGTATAAATAGAGTTGTGGTGACAGGATATATATCTAACATACATAGAATTGATGTGAACTCTGTGTTAGCTTAATTTGAATTTTGGTTGTAATTAAATATAATAAAGTATTTTGTAATTTATATTCTCCCTTAATTTAAATTGCAAATAAACCATATTGGTGAGGTTTTGCTTTAATATGGATCCTTTACACTTATTTTGTGTGAGAAATTATTTCAGGGAGATTACTGTGAGCATGAGGCCACACTTTTAGAAGTGTTTAGTTTATAGTTTGTATCCTTTATAATATCAGTTCATATAAATTTATTCTCCCTATCCCCCAAGGGTAGAGCTGCTCCTTTATCATGAGTTAGGATTTTTTTTTTTGTCTAAAAAAAGACTTTTTATCAAAAACTATTAGTATTCTGATCAGTTCTTGTTCACCTAGAATGCTTGAGCAATCAGAGATTGGGTAAATTGATTATTTTAGTCAATTGTTAACTAAAATACTGTATTTCATTTGCCAGATTGAAAAAAATATTTTTATTGATTTCAGAGCTGGAGGGAGAGAGAGATAGAAACATCAATAATGAGAGAGAATCATTGGTCGACTGCCTCCTGCACACCCCCTACTGGGGATTGAGCTGGCAACCAAGGCATGTGCCCTTGACCGGAATCAAACGGGGAACCCTTCAGTCAGAAGGCCAACTCTCTGTCCACTGAGCCAAACCAGCTAGGGCTCATTCGCCAGATTTTGATAGTACAGTCAAACTTCAGTTCTTGAACGTCTCCCATCTGGAACAATTAGGTTCTCGACCCAGTTGTTCACAGAAAAAATGTCTAGGTTGTTGAACAAGCTCCAGTTTTCTACCTGACAGCCCTTTCATGTTGATACATCAGCATGACAAAAGGCATCTCTCAGGCCACAAACAATGGAGAGAATGCATGAGTCATAAGCTAACAACATCTCAGGAATTTGTGCTGTGGATGGTGTGTGTGTGTGTGTGTGTGTGTACGGAGAGAATGCATGAGTCATAAGCTAACATCTCAGGAATTTGTGCTGTGGATATATGGTGTGTGTGTGTGTGTGTGTTTGCTTTTGTTGCTGGTGAAATGGACAATTAGCACAATTTTAAAACATAAAGAGGCCATCAAGAGTGCTAACATAGCCTTAACCGGTTTGGCTCAGTGGATCTCTCATCAGCCTGCGGACTGAAAGGTCCCAGGTTCGATCCCTGTCAAGGGCATGCACCTTGGTTGCGGGCACATACCCAGTAGGAGGTGTGCAGGAGGCAACTGATCGATGTTTCTAACTCTCTATCCCTCTCCCTTCCTCTCTGTAAAAAATCAATAAAATATATTTTTAAAAAAAGAGTGCTAACATTGCTAATGGTAGGAAAGAAACAGTGATTACAGGCAATTGAAGAGGTAGAAAACTGTTGTTGATGGGATAAACAAAAAGCAGTTAAGCCAGTGACAGCAAGAGAAGATGCTGTGTACTGACCTCCTGAAAGACACCCCTAGAATTAGTGCTGAAAGTGATTTGTTTAAGGCTAGTAGTGGATGATTTGTTAAATTTAAGAAAAGAAGTGTTTGTTTATAGATTAAACAGTACATTAGATATGTATTTAAGAAAGGTTAAAATGGAATCATTTGAGGATCGGGAGTGAATTAATTCAATGTACATTATTTCTAATGGGAAAGAATGATTCAATTTTTGAATAAATTACTTCTCAAACAGCCTTCTGGAATGAATTAAGTTTGAGAACTGAGGTTCCACTGTATTAGTATATACTAAGGTATGTCTAACAGAAAGGCTACTGTCATTGGTTCAATTTTTAATAATTATAAGAACTCAAGTGATCATTTGAATATGTTATTGTTTAGTACTCTGTGCACAAGGAAGTTATTTGTACTTTCCAGTGGTTTGGAATCTGGAAAGTGAAAGTTTATTATTATTGACTGGTAATTGTCAGTAATCTGATGTAAATGCTAATTTGGAAAACACTATGCTAGGAACCTGCCTTTCCTTTTAAGGTTGTTTTATTTATTCATTTATTAAATATTTTATTTGAGAGAGAATTGGTTATTTTTTTCAACTTATTTATGTAAAAGAACTCTTCCTATTCTAGTATTTCAGATAAACAGTGTTCATCTATTATTTTAAGAGTTTATGAAATTTCCGTCTGGCTTGGTTTGGTTTATTAAAACAATCAGAGAACTCAATTGCTTTCTTTAACTACGAACTCTTTTTCTATTGTTTCTATTTATAATTTTTTTCTCATGAATTCTTTCATCAAAGTCAAAGTTTAAGTTAATAAAAACTATTTGTTTCAGCCATAAAACAACCTTTATGAGTTATTTAAATATAGAACATTTATTTCATGTTTTTCCTTAGAGATGGTTGTGTATTTAAGCAATGATACAGAGGTGATTTTTTTGGAGAGCTTTAATAGTTTAAGATGTCTTTTAAATTTTTTTCTTCTCTGCAGAGTGAATTGGATGTTCCTTTTAAAGTCAAGGCTGGCCAAATCAGTAAGCACGTCACTCTTCATTTGACTTATTTTTAGTCCTTTTAGTTTTATTTTTCCTGTGTTATTTAATCTAAAACTCTTTTTTTTTTAAAATTTTGAATAAAAATGTGAGAGTTTTTTTGGTTATGTTGATGAGAGCTTTTGTAGTTCTTAACCTAATATATATTATGTGGTAATACATATATACTTTGAAGATTTTGACAGTAGGCTAGAGATTTACCCTCTAAAATGGAAGGATATTTTGAAAACAATTTTTACGAACTTATCTATCTTTTTTTGCTCTATCCTTCCCACCCAGCCTCCTAACCCCTAACCTCCTTACCCTGACAGCTGTCAGCCTATACTCTATCTATGAATCTATTTCTATTTTGCTTGTTAGTCTACTTTGTTCATTAGAGTCTACATATGAGTGAAATCACATGATACCTGTCTTTCTCTGACTGGCTTATTTCACTTAGCTTAATACTCTCCAAGTCTATTCATGTTGACACAAGGGTACGATTTCCTTCTTCTTCATGGCCCAGTAGCATTTCATTGTGTAAATGTACCACAGCTTTTTTATCCACTCATCTACTGGCTACATTCATATCTTGGCTATTGTAAATAAAGCTGCAATGAACATAGGGATGCATATATTTTTTTGAATTAGTGTTTTGGGTTTCTTTGGATAAATTCCAGAAGTGGAATAGCTGGGTGATAAGGAAGTTTGAATTTTTTTTGGTAACACCATACTGCTTTCCACAGTGGCTGCACCAGTCTGCATTCCTACCAACAGTGCACAAGTGTTCTCTTTTTTCCACATCCTCACCAGCACTTGTTTGTTGATTTATTGATAGTAGCTATGCTGACAGGTGTGAGGTGATACCTCATTGTAATTATAATTTATATCGCTGTGATGATTAGTGACCTTGAGCATTTTTTCATGTCCATTGACCATCCATATGTCCTCTTTGGAGAAGTGTTTATTTAGGTCCTTTGCCCATTTTTAAAATTGGATTGTTTCTTTCTCTGGTATTGAGTTGTATTAGTTCTTTTGAAAATTAACCCCTTATCAGATGAACCATTGGCAAATACGTTCTCCCATACTGAGGGTTCCCTTTTAGTTTTGTTGATGTTTTCTTTGCTGTGCAAAAACTTTTTAGTTTGAGGTAGTCCCATTTCTTTGTTTTTCTTTTGTTTCCCTTGCCTGAGAAAATATATCAGAAAAAAAACAGTGCTATGAGAAATGTCTGGTTCTAGCATCCTTACTGATGACTTTGGTGGTCTTAGGCAATTAACTCGGGCACTGAGTTTCCTTCCTTTCTTTCTTTCTTTTTTTCTAAAGAATTGAAGTAATAGCTGTCTCATTCTTTTTACAGTTGGAATATTAAATAAAATAATAGTTACCAAAGTTTGAAAAGTATAAAGCATAATGTGAATAGTCACTTCTAAAAGTAATATAATATGGGAAAGATCTTTGTAAACTTTAATGTTGAAATTTTTTCATTTTTTTTTTCTGAATGATGTACTTACTATATGCATGAATGGTTTTGTTATACTTTTTCCTCTTAATGGAAAGTGAGAAATGTTTATCTTTTTGAGCAGCCAGATAAGAATTTAAATTTGAAATTATGTTTCTTCAGATAAATTAACTTTGAAGATTCCTTGGAAGAATCTTTATGGAGAAGCAGTTGTTGCGACTCTGGAAGGATTATACCTGCTTGTTGTTCCTGGAGCAAGTATGCTATTTAGTCTGTAATCATTCAGTAATATCACAGTGAAATGGAATGTGACCTGGGTTAACTATTTTATATGTTTAGTAAAATAGAAGATAATTTAAATAAATCATATACATACATATGCACATAACTACATACATTTTACACACACACACACACACACACACACACATATATTTTACCACATTTATATCCTATATAATAAAAGCCCAGCAACCAAACGGTGCAATGACCAGAATGACTGGTTGACTAGTTGCTATGACATGCACTGACCACCAGGGGGCAGATGCTCAACACAGGAGCTGCCCCCTGGTGGTCAGTGCATGCTGCTCTGCTGACCAGGATGAGCGGCAGTCCCACAGTGGGCCAATCCTGCAAGCCATGCCCCCCACCAGTGCATGAATCCTGTGCACTGGACCTCTAGTTGTTGGAAAGAATAATTTAAATCGTTTGTTAGATTGATTCTATTCTGTATGAATAATAATTTTGCAGCTAAGGCTTTCTATTAAGTTAAGATGCATTAGGCAGATTTATACTGGGGGAATGAAATGAAGTGAGATTTTAAAAATGCACTGATGTGTTAATCTATAGCAGTGATGGCGAACCTTTTGAGCTCGGCGTGTCAGCATTTCGAAAAACCCTAACTTAACTCTGGTGCTGTGTCACATATAAAAATTTTTTGATATTTGCAACCATAGTAAAACAAAGATTTATATTTTTGATATTTATTTTATATATTTAAATGCCATTTAACAAAGAAAAATCAACCAAAAAAATGAGTTCGCATGTCACCTCTGACACGCGTGTCATAGGTTTGCCATCACTGATCTATAGATTTCAATATTGGAAAAAATTTTCCCCCATTTTGTTGCTTCTGATTTTGAATGAATATTCTCTCAAAAATGTATGTAAAACAAATGTAAGTAATTCTTAAATTATAAATTTTAGTATTTTAATATTTTAATGAATGTTTTAAAGCAGTGGTGTTTATTTAAGTAATACCTTTCATTACTAATGTTTTTTTAGTTATAAGAACAATATAATGTTAAGGACAGTCTGGATATTTTAGGGAAAAGTTGTTATATTTTCTCAACCATAAAACAAACAAATTTTTTTTTTCTTTTTGGCTTTCCAGTCTTTACCACATACATACTTCATTTGATATAGCATTTATCACATTATATACAACATGGATCTGGCTTTTTTACTTTATATACTATGATATGTTTAAGTTTTCATGATGATAGTGACAGTTTTGAAAGGCTGTATGATATTTCATTGTGGGCTGCGTGCTGTTTTTGCTGTTACAGTGCCTTTTTTTATTCTTTTGTTAGAATACATGATCAGAAATGAGATTACTAGATAAAAAGGATATATATATATATTCAGGATTGTTGATATTGATTCATATTTTTAAATTACTTTCTATAAGTCTTCTTATCAGTTTGTACTGATACCAGTTGATATTAGATATTGCATGTTTTTTGTAGTTAAAATTTTACCACTCAGATACAATAACTGGACATTTTCTGATGCATTTTCTGCCCTCCCCCTGCTTCTCTCTTTTACTTTTCTACTCACCTTTTCCGCACTTATCATTTTTCATATCTTTTTCCCTCCCTTTTAATTTCATTCTTCCCTCCTTTCCTTTTTGATATAAGTTTGTAAATAAATAGAAATCACTTATGGTTAAACTTTTTGTAAAACTAATCTAAAGTCTATAACTGTTCTTTTACTTAAAAAAAATGACACATCACACACACACAATCATGAGGCTGAACTTTTCCTATTTATTAATTGCATTTCTTTATTTGTGAATTAACTATTTTAGGTATTAAATATGATGCTGAAAAAGAAGAAAAGTCTTTGCAAGATATTAAACAGAAAGAGCTCTCCCGAATTGAAGAAGCCCTTCAAAAGGCAGCAGAGAAAGGTACTATAAGTTTAAGATAAACTTAGATATACCTATATTTTAGATATATTCAGTGCACTGTAAATAGGAAGCTTTCATAAACCTTCATAAATTGTAGTGTCAAAGAAAGAATCTTCTTTTAAAATCATCTCAAAATATTGATTATAAATACTTTAATGCCTCACATTTTTCTGTGATTGTTTTATCTCACTCCTAAGACATTTCTTTTTGGTCTCTCTTAAAAGGTATGACAACTGTTGAGTTAGAAATAACAGAAATATTTGGATATAATAAGATTTCTTAGCTTAAGCTGCTGACATCTAACTGAATACATAAGAAATCTATCTTTAAAATAGCTTGCTCATTAAAATTTGTTTTTTTTTATGCCCAACTGGTGTGGATCAGTGGTTGAGCATTGACCTATGAATCAGGAGGTCTGGGTTTGATTACCAGTCAGGGCATATGCCTGGGTTGAGGGCTCGATCCCTAGTGTGGGGTGTGCAGGAGCCAGCCGATCAATGATGCTCTCTCATCATTGATGTTTCTCTCTCTCTCTCCCCTCTCCCTTCCGCTCTGAAATCAATAAAAAATAAAAATAAATTAAAAAAAAATTTTAATCAGTGATTCTAATTCTTTTTGCCTTAAGGGTTTTCTTTTATACAGAATTATTGATTCTTTTGCACAAAATTACTAAAATACTTAAAATATAGAGGCAATCTTAATGGGAGAAATAAAAAAGCCTAAAAACGTTTTCCCTTTCCTTTTTTATACGTAAGCATATTTTGTATTTCTGCTAAGCTTAAGAATCTGTATTTTAATGACAGTTTTCTGTACTTCTATTACATTTATGTGCCATATAAAGCAAGGTGGGAATAGTTTTGTATTATGACAATTCAGTGTGATTATTTTTTATTCAGTTTTAGTTAATTAGTATATGTGGAAATAGTGTTATAAAAAATGAGGAGAAAGACTTGAATAGCATTAGAATTTAATTTTTTTTCTTGATACAGTTCAGATTAAAAATATTTTCTGGGTACATATGTACATTGACATCTACTTAGATATATTGATATAACAATTTATAATATCTACACTAATAAAGAGAAAGATACAAATTTACCATCACTCCACTACACCCACAAGCCACGCCCACCAGCCAATCAGGAGCCAGTATGCAAATTAACACAACTAAGATGGCCGTGGCCATGGAGCTGGAGTGAGCAGGAGGCTTGGGTTGCCCCTGGCGATGGAGGAAGCCAAACTTTCCATCTGCCCTGGCCGGCCCTGGGCTCCGCTCAAGGCTACAAAGTTTCAATTATAGAAGATAAATAAATCCCAGATACCTGCTTCCAGGCCACCCTGGGAAAAAAAAAAGAATAAAAGGAGAGGCTGGGAGCTTGTGTCGCCAGGGGGTGTGGCCACCCTGAAAACAGCCATGAGCCCCTCACCCAGGCTGGCCAAACCTCCATGGGGTGAAGGTCCCCACTGGAGTGGACATCCTCCGAACTGGTCAACCAGTCGCTTTCATGTGCATTGACCACCAGGGGGCAGACGCTTAACGCCAGAGCTGCCATCTGGTGGTCAGTGCGCTCCCAGAGGGGGAGCGCCACTCAGCCAGAAGCCAGGCTCACAGCTGGCAAGCACAGCGGGGGTGGTGGGAGCCTCTCTCATCTCCTCAGCAGCACTAAGGATGTCTGACTGCCAGCTTAGGCCTGGTCCCCCAGGGAGCCAGACTGCGAGAGGGCACAGGCTGGGCTGAGGGACCCCCTGAGTGCACAAATTTTTGTGCACCGGGCCTCTATTATAATTATATTTTCTCCTTTGAGAAAGAAACCATAAAGTCTTCTTTTTTTTATGGGAATGAGAGATTGCTTAAAAAATATTTGTGTACCCAGAGACCTGTAAGAAAAATATGGTGTAGTCTTTCTTATTTTAGCAGTTGACAGCTTAATTGACAAAATTATACCTGCTGCATATTTTGTATTGAGTGTCTATGAGATTTTTACTCCTGGGTCTTTAGTGCTTAGGAAACACATATTTGGTTCTGGCAGAGAGGCTATTAAGGATGATTTGGTATGACTATAGGGGATAAACATCTTTAGTATTAAGCTTGTGTAAACAGAACTATGAGGCTTATATAATATATAATAATTACATTGTAGCTTCTTGGATGATAAAACTGAGGTTTTGTTGGGATAGAACTGAAATTCAGAAAGTGAAACTCAGTTTTATCATTATTATATTAGATTTGTCAGAAAAATGTTCTGAGTAGATAAAAGAGATGAGTTTAGAATTGTGGAAATACGTTGCTAGAGATTATTTTTCCTTCCTTGTCAAGAAATATATTTAATTACCTTGACTGCATGTATATATATTTTTCTAGTATGTATGAATATGGGTCACATCTTTATATAATATTATTCATGTGATGATAAAAGACAGCCTTGGCCCTTCAGATGCTTTGCATTTCACCATTATTAATTAATAGTTATTACTTAAATACTATAGTTTATTTTTCAGACTTATTATTTCTCAATTACCTTTAGGTTTTAAAAGCACAAAACCACCATTACACATTTATAGAGACTCAGATGCCAAGAGAAAATGAGTTAGTTCTAAGTAGCAGATGATAAAAATGAAAACAAAGTGCTTGTGCTAATCTGCTCTAAAAAAGTGTTTTTACTTAATTGTTTTATTTGGTAAAATAGAATGTAGTCCACTATCATGTGGGGAAAAAGGACATTGAAATATAACTATGAGTTTATTTGTAGAGAATTTGTGTAATTGTAAAAATAAACTCGATATTTTTCTTCTTTTTATTTCATTGGAGAGAGTTTATTTTCTCTGAAGGTCTATTATAATGTAAAAGAAAAGATTAAATTTCTAGCGAGGCCAAAAAATTCTCAAATGCTGTGGATTCTATATTTAAAATGTTGTTTATCAAAGTAATATAAAACACACTTTATAATCAGATAGTTCTGCCAAAAAGACTTCTGATGAAAAATCTCAGTCCCCAGTTTCACCCTTCTCTATCCTTTAGACTCACTTTTTAGAGGGAACCATCATTTTAGGAATGTTAACATTCTGCCACTATGTATGTTTTTAATGTAAGGCATTACCTAGGATTTTTTATTATGGTAGTCAAGGAGCTTACCATCTCCTTTTACCCTAAATTCCGCTCCATTTTTTTTCAAAATATGGTTATTTCACAATTTTGGGCCAATTACTAGTAAAAATTTACATTACATGACAGTATTGTCACTGCATAGGTCAAATGATATACTCTGATTATATTTTCTTTCTTATGCAACTGGTTTTCCCCTTGAATTTGTCATTTTTTTATTTGCTTATTGGTCTTTTATGTAAACTTGTGTTTAATTTTTTTCACAGGGTATTTGAAATCTGTTATGTGACTGTCATTATTTCCAATTGCCCAAACCCATCTATTGGTTCCCTCCCCTCTTCCCCTTTTTCTCATGGAGATCTTCAGTTGAACTGTGAGTTTTTTTTAGTCCTGCTACACAGTTGTCATCTTGGGACTGGTCTTCATCCCTCATCTGTATTTAATTAATATTTCCTGGGTCTCTTGCTTTTTGGTCTTCTGTTACTTTGTTCATTGTTGAATCATATCTAATAACTTTTAAGAAAGGATGCACTGGATTTAGTTTTTAAAATTCTTTCAAGTCTGAGAGTCTTTGTATTTTATTTCCACACTTGTTTGATTTGGCAGGAGATAGAATCCTAGGTTTAAAATTAGAATTTACAAAGCAATACCTTTTAGCTTACAGATACTTTTGAGAAGTCTGATGCTAGTCTGCTCGACACATTGTTGGAAAATCCCTGGATCCTATAGTCCACAACCTTACACTGTAGCTGGGAAAATAAGACATGCATAATAATCAATATGAGAAAGTGTTAGGTCCCATCAAAGAAATACAGATAGAGTGTTAAGGGAGTTCAGAATGGACATATACTTAGTCAAAGAGATCAGACTAGTGGTTCTCAACCTTCTGGCCCTTTAAATACAGTTCCTCATGTTGTAACCCAACCATAAAATTATTTTCATTGCTACTTCAAAACTGTAATGTTGCTACTGTTATGAATCGTAATGTAAATATCTGATATGCAGGATGGTCTTAGGTGACCCTTGTGAAAGGGTCATTCGACCGCCAAAGGGGTCGCGACCCACAGGTTGAGAACCGCTGGATCAGACAGACACTGAAGGTATATATTTCAGCTGGGTCTAAAGGATGAGAAAGGAGAGAGGGCATTCTAGGTAGAGGGGACAGTGATGGTGGAAAAGTATAGAGCATGTATGTGAACAGCTAAGAATTTGGGAGTTTGATAGAGTGTAGTTATTGGTAAGTTAGAAAGCTATGGTTAGGTAAATTTTAAGATATTTGACTGCTATGATAATGATAATGACTATGATAGCAGCTAACATTTATTGAGCATTTGCTGTTTGTCAGTCACTCTTCAAAACACTTTATAGGCATTGAATCATTTAACAGTCATAACTCTATGATTTAAAAGCTGTTGTTATTCCCATTTAATATTTGAAAAAAGCTGAAAGTTAAATAACTTGTTCCATGTCACACAACTAGAAAATGATAGAGCTAGAATTTGAATCCAGTCTGGCTCTAGCTCCTGTAAGTTTAACTGTGAGTAATGGATATTCATCTAGCCAGTGGGAGAGTCAGTAACTTGCCCATTTTTCTTTCTTTAAAAATTCAGGGAGTGACTTGACTGATCAGAGCTATTTTAGGAAGGTTCAACTTGCTGTGTCTAGGCTGGATTTGGGGTGGAAAATGGGGAATGGTACATTCTAGTTATATTCATAGGAAGGATCCAGACAGTAAAGTGAGTTAATTTCAGCTGACTAAACTTGTATAAATATGAAAATATCTTATTCTGAAAATAGGCAAAGTGGTAGTCAAAAGGGAACCAAAATAACAGACTTGCTCTGTTTGAAAATTTGTCAAGTAGTTTATTAATGAGTCGTTAGCCATAATTCATATTTGTCTACCTTGCTTAATTTGAAATCATTGTTATAATTTTAATTATTAAGAATTTTTGTTTTAATATTATGAAAATAGTTTGTATGTTCAAAGAATTAAAATGGTGTCATTGAATGTTGCCTTAGAAATACCAGTTTTTATAAAACAGAAGTATAGTTTTACTGAATTTTACTTGTTCTGTTACATGATTTCTAATTCTTTGAATTAAGTTTAGATGTTTTACATGTGAAATTAAAGGTGTCTTTAAATGCTTTGCATTTTGATTATTGCTGCCATGCGGATGCAGGCGCACAATCAGGGGAGTTCATATATGGCTTGGAAAACTTTGTTTACAAGGACATCAAGCCTGGTGGGTATGCATGGTTAATTATATTCAGCTACATAAAAATTATATTTTTATCCATGCATGTGCTTTTAATGGAGCCCATTTAATGACGTGCCATCTTTTAGAAAATATGGAAATGTAATTCATGTTTTTCTGTTTTACCATCATTTCTTTTCCCCTACCTTCCACAGTCATGCTGAATGTTCATGTGGTAAAACAAACACAGTCCACTGCTCTGTGAAGCTTGAAATTTGATCTATAGATAACATTTAAAATTTTCCCCCTAATTTTTTAAAAATTAAAGTATAATTGAAACACAGCATTCTATTAGTTTCAGGTGTACAACATAATGATTCAACATTTATATCCACTGCAAAGTTATCACTGCAGTAAGTCCAGTCACCATCCATTACCATATGAAGTTACAAAAATTTTATTTTTCTTCTGAAGAGAACTATTAATATTTACTTTCTTAGCAACTTTAAAATTTTGCTATAGTCACCATGCTGTGCATTACATCCTCTTGACTTACTTATTTCATGCCTGGAAGTTTATACCTCTTGACCCCCTTCACCCATTTCATCCCAACTCCCCTTCCATATGGCAACCATCAATATGTTCTCTGTATCTATGAGTTTTTTGTTCTTTTATTATTATTTTGTTTATAAGAGTCTACATATAAGAGAAATATTGTACAGTCGAACCTTGTTTCTTGAACTTAATTCATTCTGGAAGGCTGTTCGAGAAGCTATTTGTTCGAAAACCGAATCATTTTTCCCCATTAGAAATAATGTAAATTGAGCCTGGCTGGTTATGGCTCAGTGGATGAGCATCAACCTAAGAACCAGGAGGCCACGGTTCGATTCCTGGTCAGAGCACATACCGGTGTTGTGGTCTTGATCCCCAGTTGGGGGCATGTAGGAGGCAACCAGGCGATCAATGATTCTCTCTCTTCATTGATGTTTTTCTCTCTCTCTTCCTCTCCCTTCCTCTCTGAAATCAATAAAAATATATTTTAAAAAAGAAATAATGTAAATTGAATTCATTCCAGACCCCTAAATGATTCCCTGTTTTAACCTTTTTTATATACAGTACATGTCTGATGTACTGTTTAATTTATAAATAAACACTTCTTTTCTTAAATTTAACAAACCACCCTCTACTAGCTTTAAAGGAATTTTTTATATATCACTGCCTCAGAAATGCTATCTTTTGCTAACTTCATTTATCCAATCAACAACAGTTTTTCTACCTATGCAGTTGCCTGTGATTGTAGGTTTGTGAGCACTTTCATACCCTTAGCAACATTAGCACCTTGATGGCCTCTCTATGCCTTAAGCCAGTGGTTTTCAACCTTCTGGCCCTTTAAATACAGTTCCTCATGTTGTGACCCCCAACCATAAAATTATTTTCGTTGCTATTTCATAACTGTAATGTTGCTACTGTTATGAATTGTAATGTAAATATCTGATATACAGGATGGTCTTAGGCAACCCCTGTGAAAGGGTCTCATTCCACTGCCAAAGGGATCGCGACCCACAGGTTGAGAACTGCTGTTTTAAGCAGTTAGCTGTCATGTGTCCAAAATGGTACGAAATTGGAATTTCTTCCATATGCACTGGAATATTTATGAATTTAAGTTACCATAATTTTCTTTACAAACCCAGAGATGTCACTAACAAGTTTGATTTTAAAATTGGGTGACCATGCCATAACCGGTTTGGCTCAGTGGATAGAGCGTCAGCCTGCGGACTCAAGGGTCCCGAGTTCGATTTCGGCCAAGGACATGTACCTTGGTTGTGGGCACATCCCTAGTGGGAGATGTGCAGGAGGCAGCTGATCGATGTTTCTACATCCCCAGTGGGGTGTGCAGGAGGCAGCTAATCGATGTTTCGCTCTCATTGATGTTTCTAACTCTCTATCCTTCTTCCTTCCTCTCTGTAAAAAATTCAATAAAATATATTTTTAAAATTGGGTGACCAGAGTTGTG